TCAAATCCCTATGATGTATGAATTTATTAAAAGTAATTAGATGGTACTTACTTACTTACTTACTTACGCCTGTTACTCCCAATGGAGCATAGGCCGCCGACCAGCATTCTCCAACCCACTCACTCTGTCCTGGGCCTTCTTTTCTAGTTCCATCCAATTCTTGTTCATTTTTCTCATGTCTGTCTCCATTTCCCGGCGTAATGTGTTCTACTTTGATCTTCCGCTTTTCCTTTGACCTTCAGGACTCCATGTGAGGGCTTGTCTTGTGACGGATCTGAGTGCTTTTCCCAATGTGTGTCCTATCCACTTCCAGCGCTTCTTCCTGATTTCTTCCTCCGCTGGGATCTGGTTTGTTCTCTCCCACAGTACGTTGTTGCTAATAGTGTCCGGCCAACGGATCCGAAGTATTTTGCGTAGACAGCTGTTAATAAACACCTGTATTTTCTGGATGATGGCTTTCGTAGTTCTCCAGGTTTCTGCCCCATACAGTAGAACTATCTTGACATTTGTATTGAAAATTCTGACCTTGGTGTTGGTTGACAGTTGCTTTGAGTTCCAGATGTTCCTCAGTTGTAAATATGCTGCTCTTGCTTTACCGATCCGCACCTTCACATCTGCATCAGATCCACCCTGTTCATCAATGATGCTGCCCAAATACGTAAAGGTTTTTACATCTTCCAAATCTTCTCCGTCAATTGTGATTGGATTGGTGCATTCTGTGTTGTATCGGAGAATCCTGCTTTTCCCTTTGTGTATATTGAAACCTACTGCTGCTGAGGCTGCTGCCACACTGTTCGTCTTCTCCTGAATTTGTTGTTGCGTTTGGGATAGAAGGGCTAGATCGTCTGCGAAGTCTACATCATCCAACTGCATCTTGGATGTCCATTGTATCCCGCGCTTCTCTTCAGACGTTGACGTCTTCATGATCCAGTCGATCACCAGGAGAAAGGGTGAGAGTAAGCAACCTTGTCTAACACCGGTCTTCACTTCGAACGACTTTGTCAACTCTCCTCCATGCACGATTTTGCAGTGTAATCCATCATATGAGTTCTGTATGATATTGACTATCTTCTGAGGCGCGCCGTAGTGTCGAAGAAGTTTCCATAGTGTTGTTCTGTCCACGCTATCAAATGCATTCTCGTAGTCAGTGAAGTTGATGTAGAGTGATGAATTCCATTCAATTGATTGTTCCACAATGATCCGTAGAGTTGCGATTTGGTCTGTACACGATCTATCCTTACGGAATCCTGCCTGTTGGTCACGAAGTTGTGCGTCTACGCAGTCCTTCATCCTGTTTAACAATGCCCTGTTGAAGACTTTTCCCGGTATTGAGAGAAGAGTGATGCCCCTGTAGTTATCACACTTGCTGAGATCGCCTTTCTTCGGTATTTTGATCAGAAGTCCTTCTTTCCAGTCTGTTGGTACTTGTTCCTCATCCCAAATTTTGCTGAAGAGAATGTGGATTATCCTTGCAGTTGCCGCCACGTCTGCTTTTAGTGCCTCTGCTGGGATGCTGTCCGGTCCTGCTGCTTTGCCACTCTTGATTTGTCTGATGGCCATGCTGATTTCTTCAATTGTTTGTGGGCCAATATTGATTGGGAGGTCCGTGGGTGCTGCTTCGATGTTGGGTGGGTTCAGTGGAGCTGGTCGATTCAAGAGTTCTTTGAAGTGTTCTACCCACCTGTTTCGTTGTTCTTCAATGGTGGTGATTACCTTGCCTTCCTTGCTTTTCACTGGTCGTTCTGGTTTGCGGCGATTTCCAGAGAGTTTCTTTGTCGTGTCATACAATTGTCTCATGTTTCCTTCTCTTGCAGCCTTTTCCGCCGCCGTTGCTAAATCTTCCACATATTTACGTTTGTCGGTTCTGATGCTCCTCTTCACCTGTTTGTTAACTTCTGTGTATTCAGCTTGTGCCTTGGCTTTTTCTGCTCTTGTTCGGCTGGTAGTGATTGCTGCCTTCTTGTTCCTTCTTTCTTGAATCTTATCCAGTGTATCAACAGTGATCCATTCCCTGTGATGGTGCTTCTTGTGGCCGAGGACCTCATGGCATTTTGAAATGATTGCCTCTTTGATCCCTTTCCAGTTGCTCTCCACAGTAGTTCCTTCTCCATTGAGTAAATCATCAAAGGCCTGGAACTTATTGCTGAGGACTATCTTGAATTTGTTGAGTTTGTTAGTATCCTGAAGAAAGGCCCTATTGAACTTTTGTGATATTGTCCGCCCCGTTGTCCAGTGCTTTTTGAGTTTCAATTTCATCTTGGCGACCAGCAAGTGATGATCTGATGCTATATCAGCTCCTCTCTTGGTTCTCACGTCCTCTATAGTCCTCCTGAACGTTTTTTTGATGCAAATATGGTCGATTTGGTTTTGTGTAGAGTGATCCGGTGAAGTCCATGTGGTTTTGTGTATGCGTTTATGTGGGAATATGGTGCCGCCTATGACCAGCTTATTGAAGGCACATAGATTTGCAAATCTCTCACCATTTTCGTTTCTTTCTCCCAGTCCGTGTCGTCCCATGATGTCTTCATATCCAGTGTTGTCCGTTCCAACCTTGGCGTTGAAATCTCCCATCAGAATGGTCAGGTCCTTTGTTGGGCACTCCTCGACGATTGACTGCAGCCTATCGTAGAATTGATCTTTAGCATCCTTATTGTAGTCGTTGGTAGGCGCATAGCATTGGATGATGTTCATTGAAATGCCCTCTTTCTTTGTTTTGAACGAGGCTTTGATGATCCTTGGTCCATGAGATTCCCATCCTATAAGCGCATTCTGCGCTCGTTTGGACAGCATCAATGCAACTCCTTGTGTATGTGGTGCATTTTCTTCTTCATGGCCGGAGTATAACAGGAGCTCTCCTGTAGTTAGTCGTTGTTGTCCAACTTGTGTCCAATGTGTTTCACTGATCCCAAGTACCTCTAGGTTGTATCTTCTCATTTCTGCAGCAATTTGGAAGGCTCTCCCGGTGTCCCACATTGTACGAACATTCCATGTACCTAAATAAATGGTCGCTCTGGTTGTCAGAAAAGGCATCGGCCTCGTAACTTCCGAAGGAATTCGGCTTTCATCATGAGGCGTCATAATTCTTCTAAATGAAGACCTTCTGATGGTATGTTCTAATAATTCTAGAATGAGATCACTTCTATTCAAGAAAGTTTATGATAATACTATTTATAAGTAAAGAGGGATGGTAGTTAGCAGTGTAATCCAGGACACACGTCACGTCGTCCTATTTGGGACCCGTCAGCTGATTGATCACTGGATGGTAATCAATGTCATGTATGTCATTGTTTTTCTTAGTGCAAATCGAATCCTATAATGTAGCCATTAGTGTAGATGACTCGTCATTGCATAAGTTGGTGGTTGAAGGTAGCCCACAGGAGACCCTAGACGTAGGTTTCATGCTACCTGTAATTTTGAGGGAATTGATACTCCCTGACAGATTCGATCCCATGTCATCCAGCTTCACAGTCAGAGACATTACTAACAAGCTTACAAACACTTCAGACACGCAAAAACTAAATCATTTTATCTGTATACCTTGAATAGTGATATTAAATGAATACATTTAACTTACCCATGGCATACATAATCTCTTATTACGTTCTAATGCCAAATATTGTAATACACCACGATTACTTCTTATTACTTGTACACCAGTACGTGTATCTCTTGTCCATCTTGTAATACATAATACAAAGGAATGATTTGGACCCCAACGTGGTAATAATCCTTTACCTAATAAACCTGTTCTACCCATTGGATTTAATGGTGCACCTGTTGTTGAATCTAAACGATAACGACCAAGTAAACTTTGTCTACGTAATTTAGCTTTAGAATCATATTGATTAAAATTGATTGTACGTAGATTTTCACTATGTTGAAAAGTAAATACGATGTTTCCATGGGTAAAACTAATCATAATAATGTTATCATGAATTATAATGTATAACGTTAATGATACATGTTTAAGTATAGTGTATTCAAATCATTTCAAGAGTTCGATAAGGAATCCATTGAAGAATTCATATGTGTTTTGACGAGATCATCGGTTTGATTGATGAAGAGAAGAAAAGTAATAAGTTGTCTTTAGACACAGATCTATCTGGGTTTTTTTTAACAGAGGTGTTTAATCTTTAAGTACAGAGACGATTCATCATGCAGTTATAGGCAGTCATATATGACTAATTATGCAGGATATAAGGCATAACAGCATACTCATATTATACTTGATGTGTTAGTAGCTGATATTATAATACAATCATAATATGCAACTTCATGAATGATGATTGTGTTAGTCTATGAATGAATTGTATGTATATACAATAAATAATAGATATCATGCATTTAACAAAAGTCGTGGATGCGCACTGCTGAGGAGTCCCACAATAGGACGAAACCGCTGTTCAGTGATCATGACCATTGAAAAGTAAACTTACTGAGGTTGGATATCTCAAGGCTAATATTTTGCATGATCTAAGAATACTGATAGTATCCAATTAAACTCTTGGAATTATTCAAAATATAAAAGTAATAGAAGTTTTGATCATCTTGGTTTAAGTCTACTTATAACCTAAGACTGTAATGAATCAATTTTCAATACAAATTTCAAGACAGTTCTACTGTATGGAAGGCGGAAACTTGGAGAACTACAAAAGCGATTATCCATGAGATACAAGTGTTTATTAACAGTTGCCTATGCAAAATACTTCGGATCCGTTGGTCAAACACTATCAGCAAAAAATCTACTGTGGAAGAGGACAAACCAGATCCCTGCAGAGGAAGAAATCAGGAAGAATTGCTGGAAGTCGATAGAACACACATTGAGGCAAGCACCCAACTACGTCACAAGGCAAGCTCACACTTGGAACCCTCAAAGCCAAAGGAGAAGAGGGAGAGCAAAGAACATATTACGCCGAGAAATGGAGACAGACCAGATAATAATAAACAACAATAAGACACAGCTATGAGGGAAGGCCCAGGACAGATTGGGTTACAGTATGCTGATCGATGGCCTGGAACTTATTGCTGAGGACTATGTTGAATTTGTTGAGTTTGTTAGTATCCTGAAGAAAGGCCCTATTGAACTTTTGTGATATTGTCCGCCCCGTTGTCCAGTGCTTTTTGAGTTTCAATTTCATCTTGGCGACCAGCAAGTGATGATCTGATGCTATATCAGCTCCTCTCTTGGTTCTCACGTCCTCTATAGTCCTCCTGAAAGTTTTGTTGATATATAAATATATTTATACTATGATGTCTCTTTGTATCAATGATTATGTATTCAAGTAAACAGATGAATAGAAGATCAAATCATAGTATTTTTTATTTGAAAGCTGTTATAAACTCATGGTTATAAATATGATATTTCAACTTTTGAATGGTCAATGTATACTGATTCATTTGCCTAAAAAACAGAAAAGTAACTAAATAAGAAGTTATATAGTAAGTACAAATGAACTATTTAGACGATGGAGACTCATTATCCTGATTAAACTAAAGCTTACCAATTATAGTATGATTTAGATGTACCGATAAATTCCTCCAGAAATATAAACAAATACCTAAACTTTATATGCTAAAGTTAATTCAACTGCATACCTTGTCATCGGTATACTATCAGAATTGTAATTTACATGTAATTTTATAATTAGATATAATGTTGAACCTTCTATTAGACATTAACACTGTTGTATACCAGCTCAGTGATCTAGAGATTAAGCGCTCGAATACGATATCAAAGGTTCTGGGTTTAAGTCTCGCATATAAGATCGTGGATGCACACTGTTGAGGAGTCTCATGCAAGGACGAAACGGTTATCCAGTGTTTTCAGGTTTCCAATGATGCTCTAGCATATATCAACTTATGAATATAACTATTAAAGTAATTTCATCATTTGATTCGTTTTTATATCAAGCTAACAATACACAACACTATTGCGATAGCAACAGTTCATTTAAACAAAATCAAGCTTTATCTAACAATCTATTTATTTATAATTTTGTAATAAAATGTGCACTGTATAGATAACATATACTTTAATGAAACAATTTGAGACTGTTTTCACTTGTTCATTCTGATTTCCTGTTTAAAAAAACAAATGGATAGAGTAAGTATCCATTTCACTGGTTGAAAACATGAGTCAATTGAAGCTAGACCATCATGGAAAACCTGGAAGCATTGGACGGCTGTTTCACCCTGGTATGGGACTCCTCAGCAGCGCGCATACACGACCCCGCACCGCTGGGTGCCGGCCCAGTGGTCTAGTTGGTTAAGCGCCTGGCGCGAGACTGATAGGTCCTGTGTTCAAATCTCGTGGAGTGCGCGATCGTGGATGCAAACTGCTGAGGAGTCCCATATTAGGACAAAACGGTCGTCCAGTGCTTCCAGGTTTTCCATGGTGGTCTCGCTTCAATTGACTCATGATTTCAATTAGTTAAATTTCTAAAAATCTCCACAAAACCCCATCTGGCATAAGTATCCATTTAACAATAATACGATGATAAATATTCAACTTGTTTTTAAGAAAAAGGTCACAGAAAAAAATTCCGCCTGGAGCCCTCTCTGAGGGCTACTGCCAATCTCAAGCCCGGATAAAGGAGGAAGGTTAGGCGTGGGGTTAGTGACCCCATCCCGTAAAAAACTAACTCACTAAAAAAACAAAACGTTAACCAGAAATTAATTCACAGGAAACACAATGTGTTTAAAAGATTATCCATTAGTGTAAATTCATTTTGTATGATTTGCTTGAATTATTCCATTGATATTGAAAAATGCATTAGATTAGTTTCCTATTGTCATATATGCATCCCGGAGTGAACATCAACTCTGGAATCCAGGTACATTCAGTGGCAAGACTATAATTTATAAATGAATCAATCAGGTTAAAGGTCTCGGATTTTGGCGCGAAATTCGTTCATCCATTTGGTTAAATACAGGTTTCGCATTATTGCTGATGTCAGCTCGTGATGAAAACCATATATCTAATTGTTAACCTTAACCATCAATTGTAAATCATAATTCTAATGCCTTACACTGATTTACAACCCTCATTTGATCCTACTTATAAGGTGGACACTCTCAAGGTCAGTTTAGTGTCACTCAAAGGTCGTCCATAAATTATAGTCTCACTCATCCAGGTGATAAGTCTCAAACAGGACAAAATGCTCGTCAAACCGGATTTCATTGCTAGCCAACTACCATTTTTTTGCTTATTATCCACTATCCTGTAATAGATAATACTATTACAGGACAATACAGACAGTAATCAATTCGGTCACTTTAGTTTTTAAATGAACAATTGGTGTATGGGTGGTCAGTATTTGTGTAATATGTCACTGTATATAGAATATTAAAATGTGTGTGACAACACAAGTAATTGTAACTCCATTAATTATATGTTTTCCTAGATCATGTCTATTCGTTATTGAATCAGAAATCATTCTATTACATTACAATATTTACTTATAAAACAACACAGTTACAACTTGAGTAAACAGTAATTAGATAGTCTTGAATGTATTCACGTATACCGACAAAGAATGCCTAACTCTTCATACAATTTGATTTGTTCTAACAATAGTGAATTCAAGGACAATGATCACTTTGACTGATTGATCATTTCACATAAATAGGGAAATAGGGTTTGTCTTAAGCATGTACCTGTACCAATCGAGTCACACTTGATGGAGAAGCTTTGGAAAACGTAAAAACCTCTACATATCTGGGAAGCATCATTGATGAATACGGTGGATCTGATGCAGATGTTGAGGTGCGGTTTGACAAAGCAAGAGCAGCATATTTAAAACTGAAGAACATCTGGAACTCAAAACAATTGTCAACCAACGCCAAGGTCAGAATTTTCAATACAAATGTCAAGAAAGTTCTACTGTATCAGGCTGAAACCTGGAGAATTAGGAAAGCCATCATCCAGAAGATATAAGTGTTTATTAATAGTTGTCTAGGCAAAATACTTCATATCCGTTGGTCAAACACTATCAGAAACAACCTACTGTTGGAGAGAATAAACCAGCTGTCAGTGGAAGAAGAAATCAAGAAGAAGGGTCGGAAGTGGATAGGAAGTACATTTAGGAAAGCACTCAACTGTGTCGCAAGGCACGCTCTCATGACTTGAAATCCTCGAGGCCAAAGGAGAAGAGAAAGATCAAAGAACACATAGCACTGAGAAATGGAGACAGACATGAGAAGAATGAACAACAATCGGATAGAACTATGAGAGAAGGCCCAGAACAGATTGGTTTAGAGTATGGTCGGTGGCCTATTCTCCATTGGGATTAACAGGCGTAAGTAAGTATGTACCAGTAATACCTGAATGACTAAGATTTATTTTCAGATAGAATGTAAGCTGGATAATGAGATAATATAAGCATAATATTTCATTATATCAATTTGAAAAAATAGTTTGAAATATTCCGTTGTTAATATTTCAACTGAAATTTGATCAATCTTGGTTAAAATATGCATATCCAGTGCGGATTGCCTCGGTATAGCCATTATGATACACGAATATTAATCCTGAATATCAACTCTGAGAGGCAGATGCATGAAGCTGATGAGACTTAAATAGGTCAAAACACATATTCATGATCCTACTACTAGCTAAATATATTCTATGTCAACATGTTTCTAGATTTATTTATTTATTTTACCACATAAATATTGGTACAAAGGTGAACCGAATACATATGCCCCATATAAGTCACTTGATTTGTGTGTGGGCTGTGATACTGTCTCGGTGCCTAGACCGAAACAGGTGGATTTCTTAGGGAGCCACAGCCAGAGCCTTCGACCTAAAGGTCTAGTCCACATGGTAATGGGACGACGTCAGGAGATGCAGTTATATGGTTGCCCGTGACCAACAATTGGTTAATACACCATTTGATCCCTCAGGATCCTA